CTTTATCTCTTTCGAAATTTTCAAATTCACCCTTCTGGATACTTTACCCTTACGATGACCATGCAGCAGATGCTGGCACTTTCTTGGAGGACATTATTTTACTCCAAGTAAAGCGCGATGCTCGGGGCAAATAACCATATCCTCACCCTCCTCGTCAAAGACAGGCAAGTATCATCTCTCTCTCAGAGGCTACACGTGATTGTGTTGTTTGTAATTCTCTCAAGTGCGCCTTTACATAACTGACGAAAGAATTCAAGGGAAAAACTGCGAACGATATACAACACTTTGAAATATCATCCATGCTCGTGCACTCCTTTTCGCAATCAACAGTCTATTTATAGAAAGCCTGTGAATCTCAACAACCTTTTGATGTATCTGGGCTATTGGGTCTTTTACATATCCTAAGCCCCAATTCAACATTTAGTATTGCCAAACCGTTATACATGTACTCCAAATTTTAGAACAAAACAACACAAGTCGATTCGTGCGCATCAATTTGTATTTTTAGGGCGAAAGTTTGTTCTGTTTGTAGTTATTATGGAAGATCGAATCAAGCTATCAAATTACAAAGATGTAGGCGCTTGCCAGGAGGTAATTTCCAGGGATTACTTTACAGCCAAACGCTTTTCTTCTTTTCAGGCATATTAGGCAACCAACATTGAGATGCAAGCAATTCAATATATTTGCAGTAAAGCGAGGTCTTTTGGATAACGTTTTCTGCATCAACACTCTATCAACACTGTATCAAGATGCGATGTCAGTGATGCAAGTTTCAAGCAAATGTATTATTCCTTTGTTCGACGAACAAAAGCAAATTTCATTATACAATCATTCCTACGTTCAAATATAGACAATGTAAGCATTTTGATAGTGTTCTGTGACTCGCGTGTTCGACTTAGCAAAGAGTAAGTCCTGTCACCTAGTTCACTTATACAATAACAGAGGCCATCATTAAGCCGCCGATTGTTATTTTAATGGCTCAGGACAAACAAAAGCCTTCAAAATGGTTGTATTTCATTAAAGTTTATGGTTTGTAACCATTTTGCGGCATTTTCTGTCTGTTGCTATGTCATTATTACCGAATTAGCGCATTACAATGAGAAAAACAATTGACGTGGGTACCCTGTAGTAGGGGAAGTTTCTTTTAAGCGATTAGATAGAAATGGTTCTATTTCATTAAAGTATATGGCGTGTAACCATTTTGTGGCATTTTCTGTCTGTTGCTGTGTCATAATTACCGAATTTGCGCGTTATAATGAA